AGAATCTGGCAAGCCCTGCGTCAGATACCTACCTGGTTCAGGATTGTTGAATGAACCGAATGGTTTCTCCCTGCTTGTACTGCACTCCTTTTAAGGTCAAAGCCAGGAAGAAGATTTCCCTTGGTTCAAGCTGGGAGGACGGTCCCACCTGGGAGCCCTCCAGGGCAAACCAAGGCTGACTGAGAGGGACAGACATCAGAACGGTGGCACCCTGGTGTGTCAGGCACAGTGCTTTATACATGTCATCCCTCACCACAACCTTATAAAGGAAATAAACTCAGCCCACTGTACCGCAAGGAATCTGCATGTGCTTTGTACATACCATGTGGCAAGGCTGCATTTTGTGAGCTGCACTTAAGGTGTGGCTCTACAGGGACTGGGGGAAAAGCTAGACAGGGAGGGTGGATACAGGAGGAGGTGCTCCTGCCAAGGCCTGAGACACACTACACACCCTCAGTCCCGGCTAGTGCCACTGAGACAGAAGGCCACATGGGTGTCGCATGGAGGCAGCTTCAGAATGAAGTCCATAAATACATGTTATGGCTGAGCTAATTGAGTGAATTAATGAAAAGCAAACATATGGGCAGAAGTCGGAAATATTGAACAGCTCTAGAGTGGTTGAAAGTACAAATTTTGATGTTCAACCTTGGGCAAGTTATTTAAACTCTCCAAGCCTCAGTTTGCTCATCTATGAAATGGGGATAATGGCACAGTATTTATTTATCTCACAGGATTTTCCCGATGGTTAAGTGACTAATACGTGGAAGGTACTTAGCACAGTGCCCGCAGACAGGGTGAATGCCCAGCCATTTGTGGCATTTCTTATCTTTCTCATTGTCATCATCATCCTGACGAGCGCCATGAGGGACTGTGGCCCATTCGCATAAGGAACGTGGAAACAGCGGTGTGATTCCTTTCATTCCTGAAGCAGACCCCTCACACTTTCCTCTTGTGACTCATTCTCTCTCTCAGGGTAACGCTAGAAGCTTGTTTTCTCCTTATGTTACCAGGAAGAAGTGTTAGAGCGAGATTTGCCTGAACGTCAAAATTCTTATCATGAACTTGCACCTACGGGCTTCAAAGGCCCCAAACACACCCCCTGAGCCTTGGAGGCTCCCCAGGGGGAGGCTGTCCACGGAGACAAGGAGCGCTGCAGTCTGGCGGGTGTCCAGGGGGTGGAGCCAGAGAGCCCCTGGCGGCTGTCGGGCGATAAGGACAGGAGGCACATCCAAGCAGTCGGAGGCCCAGAAGGAAGGAAGACCAGTGACAACCGCACGGCTCTCTGCAGGAGTTTCCTTTCTTCATCCTGGGCTCATAGAAGTGCACCTGAATTGGTTAGATTTCTGCCACAACAGGACAAGCCACAAAATTGAAATTCAAGAAGAAAGGGAAAGGAAGAGATTTTTAAATTCAATTTTAGATTCTCTTGCTGCGGAATGTTTGCCTCCTGACTTTTAAAAAGACAGCAGTTTGTCCTGGGAGTCTCACCTCAAAAGAAGGACATTCCAGGGAAACACTGGTATTTTTGTTCTCTCCTCACTGGGAAAAAGGGCGGTTGGTTTACAGAAAACAAGTTGCTCATATCTTGTCTTCCCCGCCCTCCCGCCACACCCCTCAGGCCCTTGCTTGGACTGTCACACCTGCACAGAAGTTGTCACGTCTAAGAGAAAATGCTACCCCAGGAGCAGCCACTCAGCTCCCAAATCCACACTCCAGCAACGTGTCCCATGGTTTTGATTTAAGTGACACTACGTTGATCCTTTTTAGTTATAAATCTTTCCAAAAATATCTCGGGGTCAGGATAGGGGCTAGAGGAAACAGCATGGAGAAGAAAGAGAAGAATTGGAGTAGGATTAGTGGTGGGCAGAGAACTTGGAACATCGTGGAAGCGATGGCAAAGTAGTTGGCACCGTATCAAGAAGAGAGAAAGAGAGAGAGACACCAGGTATGGAAGCAGGGGACCAGTTCCTCGGCACTGCTTTGGCACTGGTGCCCAGAGTGGGAGGAGAAAACGAGGCCCAAGACTATGCAGAGCGAGGCAGAGTATAAAACTGTTAGGTGCCTCCCTGCCAGCCCTGTCTCCTGTGGACCTCTCTCCCTCTCCCTAGAGCCCAGCGAGCCTTATCAGCCACTGCCTTCTGCCACCAGGGCCAGCCAGAGTGTGAGTACCCTCCTCATTTCTATTAATGTCCAACTGTTCATTCACTGTTCAGGGCTTGGCTTCTTAGCCCTCTGTCATTTTCGCTCTTTTGCTCTTTCTTTTTTTTAATGGAGAAAATGTTTCAGATCGCTGGGACTGATTAGAAGCAGCAAAGTCAGAGTTCTGGTAAACTAGCAAGCAATTTACCAAGGACACAGGTTTCTTCCTGGAAGTTTAAAAGCGGTGTCCTTATTCATGATTCCGGAAGCAAGGTGGAAGCAGCACCCGAGCTGATGGGGAAGAGGGTTTGCAGCGAGGTGTCCACCCAGTGTCCTAAATGACTCCGAGTTCACGCTGTTAGGAGTTTCGGGCTGAGTTCCTGAAATAAGTGAAGTTGGAGACATGTGTCTACGTGACTCAAAAGAAAAAAAGTGGGGCACTGGGAATGGCCCCCTCCAATTATGGATTTATAGATTCTTCTGTTTGTGCTGTCACGCCGAAGGGAGTTGCTTGTGTACCCATCGGGAGAACTAGTCAGTCACGACTGAAGCCGCGGATCTGGCAGCTTCTTTGAATTTGAAGCTGCCCTTTGTGGCGTGTGGAATCAAGGCTCCTGGGGGTAGCGTCTTCTGAGCAGGGAAGCATTTTAATCAGGAGACAAGAATACCTGACTGCGTTTTCTTTCTTTCTGATTACAGCTTTAAAGAAAACTGAGCACCTCCTACCACTTAAAATCAAAAACTACCTAAAATAAAGATTATAGTAAGTATCAAATAAACATCAATGTGAAAGTCTCTTTATTATGATAGAGCATGAATGTTTAAGTGCCTTCTTCTATATCCATATCCAAAACTTTGTACTCTTTTTAAAAGTGATACTTGAGGCATGAAAAATTGAAGACTTTTAGGTCTCTCCAATTGCACAAATTTCTAATATATGCTGACAATAGACTGCATTTTATTTTGTGTAATAAAATAGAGAATATTAGTTGAATTGAAATCTTGATATTGCCTCGTAGTGCTGCCTCGTTTCACTAGTGATCTCGGCTATGAAAAGTGATTTTTGACTGCTATTGGGAAGCTCATCAGGTACAGCTTCCAGAATATTCTTGGAATATTAACTTCAGCACACACGAGCCTCGTTGTGGATGTGTCAGCAATGTAGAAGAGTGAGGCTCACTTTGAGGCCCAGGGAGACATTTGTTTGTCACAGTAACTGCTTCTGGCAAGGGAATAGGGTGAAAGTGGGGATGGCAAAGCCCTTCCTTTCTTGCTGTTCAACCCCCACACCAGGGTTACTTCAAGGCAACTGTGAAGACAGGCTGCGTCCACTATACCACTGAGTTCTAGCACCCACTGCAGACTCCAGCATATAGAAGTTGCTCTTTTACTATTGGTTGACTTGAACAGAATTTCAGGTGGCATTAATATGCCTGGCCCCAGACTGGAAGACAAAGAACCACCAAGGCCAAGCTATTCCATAAGGCTCACTCCACCTGCTGCTTGCTGAGTAAACTTGCATGGTTTCCACTCTGAACCTCAGTTTTCTCTTCTATAAAATGAAGGCTTGAACTATGTGGTCTCTAAAATCCTTTCTAGCTCTCAAATTTTTCTGTCTCTTGGCTCTAAGAAAATATTGATGTTGAGCTTAAGGATGTAATTCTCCTCGAAGCGCGTGATTTCGGTGGTAAGAGAAAGGCAGCACCTAGCAGGGGGTGCAACGGATAGGCATCTACTCTGAGAGCATGTGACAGCCTGGCTGGTCTTTTCCTTTCATTCTTCTTTATTTGTTTTTAACCTTGTATAAGATGAGAGCCCTACCATTGGGTTTCTTAATGGTGCTCTTTATTAAACAAAAGTATTCATAATGCAACCCTGAAACACATCAGTTGGGTACATAACTAGTCAGGTAGTTTGCCATAGATAAATACTCACACACATAATATTTTCCTAAGACATGTCAGAAATAGTTTCCAAAATTGTGTATTTCTCTGAGTCACTCTGGCAGATTGTAAGTTTTCAGGTTTCAGGCCAAGTCCGGAGAAGCAATTAAAATTAAAATAAATAAAAGGAGGTGGAAAAAGAGAAATACCACATACACAACTTTTTTGGAACTTCTCTGAAGGAAGAATGATATTTTTGGATGCAGTGGAAGTAGAAAAAAAAAGAAAGATATAAAATTTATGAAAAGCTGCCACACTTGTTTAGTTCAACTAAAAATTATTTATTATTAACAAAATTATATTCAATATTTAAGAATTCTCACTCAGGTACAAGGAAAAAAAATGCCATTTAGCAGTCTCTTAAACTGGGCTTTGGCTGTGCATACAAAACACGGCTAGTACCTTACTAGAGAAAATAGAGCCCACACCACGCCTCATTCTTGTCACACTTGATAAAGAACAGCATGGCCCAGGCAACTTGTCCGTTGGTCCCAAGATGGAGCTCTAACAATGTGCCCCGAGCGTTTCAGAGCCCAAAGCCCATCCTCTCCTCTGGAACAAGCTTCAGCTCCTCCAACCTCCTGCCCACGGGGACATGCAGCAGAGCAAAATCCATGCGTTGGTCTCTATGCAGGACAGTTTGGCATTATTATTATTTTTTTTAAGCAAAGTAAATGAACGTCTACTGTCTGCGGTGAGTTTGTTGCCTCTCCGCCCCCTGCCCGCTCCTTGCTGATGGAGAAGTCGCCTTATTATGCATTAGAGGTCTCAGTGGGGCCACGTGGCCCCTCCCCAGGAACCCCCCAGGCGCGCTGCCGCCGCCCTCCACTTGCCTTTCAGGTGCTCAGCAGAGCCAGGGTGCACATCCTGCTGATTCACATAATCTTGCCCTTTGTCATGTGTTGAGGAAAAGGAAGGATGATTGGTGCCACTGGTGATGCCCAACATAGTCCCCTTTGGACGTTCCCTTTTGAAAATAAAGCTGGTGAGGAAGCGCACGGAGGCTTGGCCCTGGCCGACAGGTCGCAGGAACAGGTATGCTTCCTTTTGCATCCTCTGTCTGGGGGAGCCTGGGCACCTGCTCCAAGCCCCTGTGTGTCTCCTCTGGGCAGAGCCTGGGAAGTAGGGGTCAGCAACTCTGCTGAGCTGGGGGCTGTGGGCCGAGCCAGAGGCACAGGGGTCTTGATCCAGAAGGTCACGTGGCACCCACCTTGGTCTGGAGGGTGGACCATTGAGCTGGGGTGTTTTGACAGTCGTGGAAAAGCCAGGAGTAAGTAGCCTGGGGTTTAATATTTATCCTGCTTCTATTTTATTAGAGTTCCCTTTATTTTATTGTCCTCTCTTCTAGTTGAAATGTAATGGCCTACTTTGCAGGAGTTGAGGTGTCTGAGCATCAGTAGAAGGTCCTTGGTCCATAGCCCTGCGTTGCCTTCCCAGTTAGCATGTGTGGATGCTTAAAGTTCCCCAAAGAAATGCGAGTATTCTAGCCTGATAAAATTCTAGGGGGAACTGCAACTTTAAGTTATTGGCTGCTCCTCAGCACTTCTCATGCCTGAGTTCTGGAGCCAGTTAATCAGGGCTCCCAGGGGCTCCAGAGGGTTCAATAGTTCGGAAGAAATGGTTCCTGGGGGACCCTGAAACAGCAGCCACTGCCTGCTGAAATCATGGGAACACCCCTCTCTCTAGGACATTACTGCCCTGCAACCCATCCCAGTGGGCAGATACTGGAGACACAAACCACAATAAGTCTTCCGTATGTTGAGCTGTGGGTTTGGACAAAGCTAGTTTAATCTTTACTTAACTTTAGGTGGCTCAACAGGGGACTCAGGCCATTCAGGTTCTCAGTCACGTCTAGCCAGTTACATTATCGGGTTTCGAATCTGTATCTCCCAAATCTCTGAGGTGATGGGATATTTAAAACCCTCTAAGATAAATAAATATATGCTGGAAATTTTGAGAACGTGAATTTGTTTATTCTGAAATAGCCCAGGTACCTGCTTTTGTAGTTGATGGAAAATGCCACTTTAATGGTTTCCTTTGATGCTTCCGGTTTAGGACTTCATACATTCAGTTACAGGAACTCAAGGCAGTTGTGTCCTTGAGCTTCTTGTTGCCTGGGCTAAAGCCTGATGCCTCTTATTGGTGTGGTTTTGAGAATGGATTGCTATAGCTGAGACAAAGCCTTAAAAAGCAATATTTTCAGTTATGAGATTTGAAGAGGGACATATCTGAAAATAAATGATGGCCATCACTTATTCAGATTATAAAATAAAAGATGATTTTTTCATAAATGCATAATTCTTTAAACAGTTTTACAACTTTAACTATGGAGCCAGCAGAGCTCCACGTGGACTTAGTTTTGGCTTCCAATCTCCAGGATTCATTGGAAATCTCACAGATGTTGGTGCCTAACATTGTTTTGCCAAGACAGAACGACCTTGGTCTGGAATGCACTGTATGAATAGCTGCTGTTCTGTGCAACGATTAATGGTTCGCCATTGTTTAAAAGCAGAATGATTAGTTGGGCAGCGAAGTAATATAATAGAAGTATAATTGTTAGCAATAAATCAGTTACCCTCATTGATTTCCATACTGAGATTAATAGAAGCCAAAACTAGAGTCAGGATTTTTTAAAAATAGACAGAACTTTATTACCTGTTAATCACTATTTGTTGGATATGGCATGTGGAACAATGATGGAGCCAGGAATAGCCATGGGGATGGTTTGACACAGCTTGGTGACAGGAAAAAGACAAGCTGATTTCTCTGCTTAGGCTTTGGGTATTTCCTTGGCCAAGTCCTATGTGGTTGCGGCTTTGACATTCCATAATTGTGCCTTCTGGGGGTCTGATGGTTTGGGGCATTTGCCTGCTTTGCACTGACCTTGGCTTTTCTTACAACTCAGGGTGGTTTTACCATTGTCTTCCTCCCTCTGCCTACCTCTGGGATTGTGTCATTGGTATTCTTTTGTATCCACCCTCAGCACCAGGAAACCTCCATTTTCGTCTCCAGGGTACCATATTCTGCTGATGTTGGTGCTTTCCTTTTACAAACTTATCATGAGACATGAATAGGCCCATCATGAACACAAATCATGGTTATATCGTTTGTATTTTCCCGGGGCATGTTTACTACTAATATAATCATGCCTTATACATTCTTCTATTATATAATCTTTTCATTACAATGCTTTGGTTTTCAACAGCTTTGTCCAATTCCATCTTTTCTAGTTTCTATACCTTTGTGGAATGTCATTCCTCCTTGCTTTTACACATTTAAATAAAAGAAGTAAAGAATGTCTGAGGCAGTTACATGATAATAGGACAAATTCAAGCAATCTTTGACTTGGAGAGAGTGGGGAGGCTGTGTCAACACACACAAACTGTTTTAAAAATTTCTTCCCTTTCAAACTTTTAAAAATAAAACTTTTTGTTTGTAAAATAAAATTTTAATTTAAAAAAACTGCTTATCTTGGACCAGTGTGCACTAGCTTAGTGAGCAGGCCATTTCGTAACCTGATTTCTTGCTCTGTGACTGGCAGCATGAAGCTTAAGCACTTGATTTGAGCTCTTTCTATATTATTTGACTCGTTATGATGATCTGAACTGTTTGTCAGTCTTCTCAAGTAGACTGAACTCCTTGAGTACAGGAAGTGGGAGATCAATCAATGATTCCTTTTTTTTTTTTTTTTTTGAAACAGAGTCTCACTGTGTTGCCCAGGCTAGAGTGCCGTGGCGTCATCCTAGCTCACAGCAACCTCAAACTCCTGGGCTCAAGCGATCCTCCTGCCTCAGCCTCCTGAGTAGCTGGGACTACAGGCATGCGCCACCATGCCCGGCTAATTTTTTCTATATATTTTTAGTTGTCCAATTAATTTCTTTCTAATTTTAGTAGAGACGGGGTCTCGCTCTTGCTCAGGCTGGTTTCGAACTCCTGAGCTCAAATAATCCGCCCGCCTCGGCCTCCGAGAGAGCTAGGATTACAGGCGTGAGCCACCGTGCCCGGCCTATGTTTCTTGAACTAGAAACTGAACTCTGAAATTAAAGACCAGAACCTTCTCACGATAGCACGAGAGACATTGATCACAAAGGTAGTGTGGGATTTGGGTTTGGGTGATCATCTCTGTGATGGTATTTCAGGAGGAAAATGGTGCTTTCTTAGTCCTATGAGACATCATGGTCTAGATCTTCTGTGGCTACTCTAGAAGCCACAGAATTACCCAAAACTGGCCAATCTAGAGTGTTCTGCATTAGGGATATTTATGAGCTCTGTCCTTCCCCCAAGGAGCCAGAGGAAGAGCTAGCCATGGAGGACAGCCCCTCTATGGTGAAAGTCGACAGGGGTGAGAACCAGGTTTCACCACGTCGAAGGAGAAGGTGCTTCCCCAAGGCTCTGGGCTATGTTACTGGAGATATGAAGGAATTCGCCAACTGGCTTAAAGGTATTTATGCTTTCATCCCTTGGAGAGATGGGAGAAGTAGCTTTGGGAGAAATTGTTTGCTGGTACTTCTATTTATATCTTTAGTAATATTCCCCAATCTTTTATCTATTCTTAACTGTCCATTTTTCTAATTTTTATCTTCTAACCTGCAAACCACTTCGATTTTTTCTTTTTATGGAGATGGTGATTGGGTCCAGGGCACTGTTTATATTAGAGGAAGGCACCCAGCTCCATTCTGCAATTTCAGTACTTAAAACTAAAATTTTATTATTGGTAATTCATTCCTTTGGCTTAAGAGTCTGTACCTCTGAACGTGGTAAATAAATGCATTAGATGCTTTCTGGGGCTTAGATTCTAGCAGGGGCAGTGTAGGTTGAACATAAAGAAATGAGATGCATTGAATTCACTGTTAGGCTGGAAAAAAAAAAAAAGAGATGCTTTTAGGGATGTGGGTGCTAGTAAAGGGACAAAGAGTTTAGAGAGAAAAAATTAAAGGAATATCAAAAATATGTTTCACTTCAGGGGATTTTGATGATTTTGCTCAAGGTGGGCCCTGAAATTGAGCAGGAACATCATTCGTTTGGCCACTTCCTTAGTTGTGTTTATGTCGTGTCTTCCAGACAGGCCTGTGATCCTCCAGTTTGTCGACTGGATTCTGCGGGGCTTATCCCAAGTCGTGTTTGTCAGCAACCCCATCAGTGGGATCCTCATTCTGGTGGGACTTCTGGTCCAGAACCCCTGGTGGGCTCTCAGTGGCTGTGTGGCAACAGTGGTCTCCACCCTGACCGCCCTTCTCCTCAGTCAGGACAGGTAGGCACGTCCTTCCGAGACACAGGGGCTGACCACCGACTATGGACAGCAGTGCTAAAGCCACATCCTTCCAGGAGAAACAACCTTTAATCCACAGAACTCTCTATATTTGTCTTTAGTCAGAGTTCAGGGAATCTGTTATAGTCTCTTATTCTTGGCATCTGAGTAAGTAGCTAGTCTGAATGATGCCAGGTTCTTGTGGCATTACATGGTAACCAGAACTAAGCTACAAGTAATCCCCAGGAGAGGTTCTAAAGGGATCGTCTTTAATGATTGATAAAATTACTTGTCATCAGCATTCTGTTAGGACAGAATTGCATATGAGTTCATGAAAAGTCTTAGTGTCTTAATAACCCTGTTATATCTTGTTGTCATGCTTAGTTTAGCAAACTCATTCTTCATAGACAGTGTAAAAGTCAGCTCAGCTCCTGGGGAGATGAATACCCATAAATTTCAAGTGAGTGGCTTTTGACTTGTGAGTCTTCTGATAGATGCATTAGGTTAAAAATACTATGTACTTTATAAATTGATCTATCATTCGAAAAGTGATAAGCTGGCTCCCAACCAGGGGGGAAGACGGTTCCTGACTAGCCAGTTTGTTCCTTCAGGGAGAAAACCAGTCTTCTAGGCTTCCAAGATCAATGAATAATTCCCAATAATGGCCATTACACAACTAAACTTTTGTAGCACTTGCTGTAAATTGCCTAAGGAGGTCCTCAGGGAAAGAGTCATTAAATGCTCTCTACTTTTCCATCAATTCCAAGGAGCCTGATTAGCTCCCTGCAGAGGGTGATTTTGAATCTTATATTAAACCCTATTCCAAGGCAGGCCAGGAAATGGTCTTCCCAGTTTGGGGATGGAGTCTAAGGTTGTGCCATATTGAATATTCCTTCATTGTTTTGCTCCAGTGCAATATGATCAACCCCATTTTCCTTGTCAGGTATTATTTAGAAGACAAGTCATATTTACATATGTTCATTTCCTTGGTCCAAGAAGACTGCATTAAAATGGCAATCCTCTGTTTTAAGTGAATGCATGTCTTCCTGTTGCTTTAGTTGTGGCATTCCACAACTTACAGATGTATGCCATTAATTTTCCAATGAGCAAACTCAAGCATTAAATCTCCAAGTCAGTTGTTGAGAGGACAAGCCTTTCTGTAGCTGTCTACTGTCATTACCTGTAGTCCCAGTTTCTGGGTGACATTCATACTGGCCCCTGCACTGACTA